GGCGAGGGTGCGGCCTGAGCGCTGGGCGGCTAGGCGCGAAGCTTAGCCCTCGTCCTCTCCGGGGCAAAAGGCTATCTCCGTGGCCGAGACCCAGCTGGGGTCAGGACCCGGGGGAGTTGAGAGGGGGAAGGGCTGAGGTCGCCACCGCGCCGCTCCTGATCCCAACGGAGATTCCGCCTGCCGAGCAAGCCAGGGCTCGATCCCCAGCTGCAAGCTACACCCCCACCTCCCCCGACCCTCCGGCTCCGCGACCTCCTGCAGCTTCCACAAGGGCTGAAGGGGGCGCTGCTGTCCTCCGACGCCAGCCCTCCCCTCCACGAGATGCGTGGGTCCAACAGTCAGTCAACAAATGCTCTTTGGTGGGGACGTGTGCCCACCTCTTGGTTAACGCAGGAGGTTCGCCACGCCGTGCCCTCGAGGAACGCCCAGGTCAGAAGTCCAGACTCCGCGGTCGATATGCGGAAAACGCAGATGAAAGCTAGATGTACACATCTGTCCTACGAGGCTCAGCCATCACGTCCTTGCAGTCTCTAGGTGACCTCGCTGCTCCTCAGCAGGGTCAACACCAAGAGCTGCTCGTCTCCAGTCCACCTGTCCTCCACTAGGCAGGGTCCCTTCCAGGGCCAGTGTTGCCTTAGGGGTTGGAAATCCCAGTACTGGCTGAGGGCTCCGGGGCCATCCTCTCAGTAGCTGGGCTCCTCTCACCTGCCCCACCCTGAGCTCAGTGTAGTCAGGGCAGTCAGAATCTGAATCTTGAACCTGCCTGGCACCTTGCATAGGCAACTAATGCCCTGGGAAAGCCCCACACCAGTTCCCAGATCCAAGGACCAGGCCTGGGGCCAGAGGAAGCCCTGAAGGGTTGGGTCAGATTCCCAGCACCTCAAACTGCTGCCTCTGCCCAAATCCCCACCCTACCCAATCCGCTGGGTAGTCTGAGTGGGGCAGTGTCAAGAAAGGCCTGTGGGGAGACTGGGCTTCCTGCTAGGACCAACAAGAAGTCAGAAGGCCACTGAGCTGCACAGGGTGTCACAGTGATTCTGATCTCAATCCCTGTTGTGGGCAGAGGCAGGCATTGCCATAGGGCAGGTGGGAAGGGTATGGAGTTGCAGGGCTGAGGGGATTCCAGTGTGAGTGGGATGGAGTCCAGGGCAGCCCCCAGCTCTCCTGCACCAACCCCTAGCTTTCTACTCCTGGCCAGTTCACACAGCTGGGTGTTGACACAGGTCCTGCTCAGAGCTGTTACCACATACAACTTGCACACCTGTGTGAGGGACACTCCTGCTGTGCAAGCTGGCCTGGCAAGGCACCAACCCTTCCACCTCCCTCTGCTCCTTTGGGAATAGGACCTGGTCCTTGGTGCCACCTGCCCCTCAAGTACCCTTCCCCCCCCTGACCTCAGGTCAGGGACGGCTGGACCTGTGGGGCTTTCCAGGATGGCAGTGGGTACAGCTCCATGTTTCACCTAGCTGGGGTCAGAGTGTAGGGATCCCCAGTCCCCTCCTTTGCTGGACTGGGGCATCCTGCCTCTTCCACAAAGGACCATTCCTTGCTGGGGCCCCTCACATGCTGAATGGTTTGGCTTGTGCTAGATGAGGTGCAGAGGAAGGCCACTCAGCCTAATGGGGGTAGGGGGACAGACTTACAGGCCCCTCCTGTGGACTAGGCAGCCAAGATTGGGACAGAGCTGGCTGGGCTCAAGAGTGAGCTATGCTTCCGCCAGTGTCCTGTAGAGCTAAATATAGCAGCCAGGGAGGGGGGTTTCCTGTTACAGCCCCCCCCATGCTGGTAAATCAATGCCAGCTCCATTAGGCCTCACTGTGGTGCCTGCTGACTGCCCATCAGGCTGGGGAGCCAGTGAGGGCTGGACTGCACCAAGCCCAGGTGTCCTGTCCTTACCTGCCCCCACCCACCACTGCCTCTCAGTGCTCCCCCACAGCAGCATATAGCACCTGCAGGTCATCCCAGAATGCCTTGAAGCCTCTCCAAGGTAGACATCAGGCCGGACCTGGGTGGATCAAGGCAGGTTGGGTAGCCCCTGTCCTGGGAGTGTGTCCTGCTGAGGTTGCTCCAGGCAGGGAGAAGTTGGGGCTGGCCAGGACACCCTCTACTAGCCCACAAAGCCCCTTAGATACACAACCTGCCTAAGGGCCCCTCCCCACAGCTGTGTCCCTACCTGGTCTCGCTGCCACAGGCCCCGCCTAGGTCATGGTCAGCATCTGCATTCAGGTGGTACTGCCCCGGGGTGGGGTGCCCCTGCCTGGCCCAGGTTACCCAGAGGCCAGTAGCATTGTTCCCAGTGTTCCCAGGCTCCTGCACAGGCCAGCATGAGGGCAGAGCCAGGTAGTTTTCATGCTCTGACACAGAGTTCCTGTGGGAGGGCAGGCAAGTGCTGCCCCCCAACCTGGCCCACCACCGGGACTCCAGAACTTCAGAGTAGGGAGTCCTGATGCAGCAAGCTACTGGCCCCCTGATCCTGTCTCACATGCCAGTGGGGGCAGCATTTCCAGACCCAGGATGTCCCACCCAGGCAAGGGCCAACCAGGTAGCTACCCTCAGAAAGGGTCAGGCTTGCCCCTATGGAAGCCACCAACCCAAACCTACTCGGATCGCCCATCAGGGCCCTTGGACTGGAAGCTGGATCCATATACCTGATCCATAACCAGGGCTGAAACAGCTGGCTGCCCTCTGCACCTCAGGCACTCTGGACATTAGCATTCATGGCCAGCAGGGCATCAGGGCTAGGGCTCTGGGCCAGGCTGCCTGTGCCAAGGACACTGTGGCCATGGTGGCATGAGGGAGCACGGCCTACAGACACTGTGTGTGCCCCAAGGTCCAGTGAAATCCACTCATAGACCCCGGCCCAGGGGGAGGCAGAACTGCTCACCTAGCCAGGAGCAGGAAGTATGTGCTGAGCAGACTCAGGATGATTTTGCTCCATGCCCATGGATGAGGCTTACCCTGGACACACTTACCAGGGAGCTAAGCCTTGGGGCTGTGCATTGCCCCTCCCTCCCGACTTGTCCAAGCAGCCCTTCCTGTGGCCTCAGGCCAACCTGTCTCCACCCCATCAGCCATCCACTGTCCCCCTGCAAGCCCACCATGGAGCAGTGAGGGGCCCTCACCAATAACCAGCCCTTCCCCTTCCAAGATGCCCAGGTCAGAGCTCAGCACGGTGCCGTCAGCTAAGCTATGTAACTTTATTGGTCCACAGAGCAGAGCCAGGCCTGGAGCAGCCTTGGTCCAGAGCCCAGCCCAGAGTCCTAGTCTCACTACAGACCGAGGCTGGGGGCCACTTGGCTGAGGAACCACGAGATGCCAAAGATGACACCAAGGGTCTTGGGGACATCAGGGTCATCCACAAAGGCCTGGGCGCCATCCAGGGGCAGGTGCACAACCTCGATGAGTTCACCCTCCTCTGCCAGGCCCCCACCTGGCCCACCTCGTTGGGCATCTGTTACCTCCGCGTAGAACATGGTCTGGCTGGAGCTTGTCAATCCCACTCCAGACCTGTAGGGTGGGATGGGGCCCCTTGAGTCACATGGTGGCCCCACCACACCCTGAGTAATGACCCACACTGTGTATGTCTTCTGTGATTAGCTGTTACACGCAGAAGCAGGAGGGTTTTACAGATGGGATTCAGGGCCCTGCTTTGCTGACTTGAGTTCATCCCAGGTGGGCCAGGCCTAATCTGGTGGGTGCTCAAGGGAGGGGGTTTCAAGATCAGAGATGGAGTCAGATACTGTCCTGCTGGCATGAGGATGAAGCACCAGGTCAGAGCTCAGCACGGTGCCATCAGCTAAGCTATGCAACTTTATTGTTCCACAGGGCAGGGCCAGGGACGGCAGACAGGCTCAGAGATGTGAATGGTCCCCAGCTGACAGCCAATGAGGAAATGGGGCCTCTGTCCCATGGGCACAGAGCAGAGTTCCACAGCCACCGCATGAGCTGGGAAGAGGACCCAGGCAGATGGGCTTCTGATTTCCTGGAGGCCCTGACTGCAGCCTGGTGAGACTTTGAGCAGAATGTTGAGTCCACTGCACAGACTCCAGATCCACAGAAACCAGAGGGCATAACAGGCAATGCCTGAGCTCCTGCCCAAGGCCAGCTGTGCTACAGGTCACTTCCTGTGCACCACTGCCCCACCCACATCCTGCCCAGTGGACCCCTGCCACAGGTGCCTACCATGGGAAGCAGGTCACCTCAGGACTATGTATGCCAAGAGGGCAGACCATGGGACAAGCTAGATGCATGGCTTGGCCCACTGGCCCCAGCTGCAGAGGATGAGAGAGGGAACCTGCTTTGGTGGGCAGTGGCCCAGACTGGCAATGGACAGTAACAGAAAGGGGGGGCATGAGGTAGCAGGAGCAGAAAGGGACTTGACCTGAGGAGTGCAGAGTGAGATCCCTCACAGTTGTGCTTGACATAGGGGAACAGATTTGGAGGATAGCTACCCAGGCCATCCCTGCTGCCTCCTTGCCCCTCTCTCCACATGCCTGCCAGTGCCATGGACAGGTAGCTCCAGGCTGCTATGGTGGACTCTGCTACATCTCACCTGCGAGACCGTAGGGATGGCCACCTAGGAACCCTCCAGCCAGGCCTGCCTGTCCAGATGCCCAAACACCTCCTCCAGGAGCCCCTGCCTACCCTTCCCACTGGCCCAACCCCCAGTTCAGGACCTCAGATGGGTGATCAGGAAACCTGCAGATAACCTAGGCCAGATCTTGCCCTCCTCACAGCCAGCCCTTGGGCCTGGAAACTCCAAGGACCCCCCCTCCCCAGTGAGAACCCTAGGAGGCTGAGGCAAGAGAGCCCCAGGCCACACAAGGATGAGAATGACCCTAGCCTTGGAAAGGTTGGGCAGCCCAGTGCTCAGCTTGGTTAGGGGTGGCCCTGAAAGACCTCAGCTGGCCACTGCAGTGTCCCCAGGGAAGGGGACACTGAGAGGGGACTGAGAGGGTGGACCAGTCAGTGGGCCCCGTGGAGGCCAAGTGTGGTAGGTCACCTGGGCCTTGGTGGGGGCAGGGACCAGGCTGGGCTATCCCCATGCCTTTCCTGGGGACAGCACTATGACTCACCCCACCCCCAGTGCCCAATGCTTAATCCCACAGGAAGTGGAGGCATCTGTCGGCAGCAGCTGCCACCGAGCCAGGCCCCACATACAGGCTGCAGGGTGGGGCCACAGGCAAGTTTGCCCAGGAGTAGCCCAGAACCCAGGTTCCAGGTTGGCCTGCTATCTGAGGCAGCTCATGCTCACTGTTCTTGTGCCATGTTGAAAGACGAGGAGAGGGGCATCCTGCTTGTACCTCCAGAGACAGGGCATTTACTCCTACCCTACCTGTCCGACTCTGGGCCACTGCTCACCTGTATGTGGCCACCCGCCGCAGATCAGAGGGGGCCAGGCAATAGCCGCACTCCTCCCAGGCCTCCTTACAGGCTACCTGTTCCAGGGAAAGCCCAGGCTGGTCCATGAGGCCGGCGCACAGCTCTACTGTCACCCCTGCAGAGCCAGGCAGGGCTGGTAGCAGCTCCAGAGGATCATCCTGGGCCACGGCCACCAGAGACCCTGGAAAGCAGCGCTCCACTTCGCCTGCGTACACAGCTGGACGGGGAACACAGCCATGTGGGAGTCATCTCCTCAAGACCTGCCACATACCTCACAGGCCTGTTTCCCCTGGGGACCCTCCCCACATTTACTTTCAGACCCTTGCCCCCCCACACCCCACCTGAGGGCCTCACCTGGCCGGAACTGCCTCACCAACACCAGGCTCCTCTGTGAAGAGTTGAACAGGAGGATGGCCACACTGCAGGGTGGGGGCTCAGCAGGGGCCCTATTTCCACTTCACCGCCCCCACCAGGAAGGTCCAGCCCTCACTCAGAAAGGGAGGATGGGACCAGGCAGGGCCAGAGCTGGCCTGACCATGCCAGGCTAGGCCCTGGGCCTACTGTATTTCAGAAAGTGGGGTTGGGGGGTGGGCAGCAGAGGCCAGGTAACTGATAGCCACTTGCCCCTGAGGGCCAGCTGCCCACAGCTACACCCTGATGCCAAGGACAAGTACCCCAGGGTGTCACCTTGAGCCTCACAGGGGGGCAGCCCTCAGGCCTTAGACTGACCTCTTGGGACAGGAAAAGAGGCTGGGCTGGAGAGGGGACTAGCAAAGACCATGAAGGAGCAGAAACAGAGTGGAAATGGGGCCCCAGCCTCAGGCCCCAGATTCCCCAGGGACCCAGCAGCCAGGCCAGGGCCTCACCTGTCATGCGTCTTCATGAAGTCCCAGAACTTCTGGGTGCCATTCTGAAAGAGGCAGAGTGATAGTCAACAAGGCCCAGGGCCAGGAATTTAACTCAGTGGTTCTGACGCCAGACTCACAAGTTCCAAGTTCAATTCCCCAGTACCAAAAAAAAAAAAAAAATCAAAATAAGGCCCAGTATTGGCAGCATGGTGGTGCCTAGACAGACCTGCTGCCCATTAGGAGCTCGCATCAGGAGCTGGAGCCAGGGCCTTGGCAGGCCAGGGACTGGGCACACAGGCCAAGGTGTACCCAAGGGGGAGGCAGAGAACCTAGACATGGGCAGCCCCATGAGCATGGGGACTGTACAGAGATGCATGCTGTCACCAAGTATGGGAGAGACCATGGCGGGTATGGGAAGAGGTAGCATAGTGACAGCCTACAGGTGGTCTAGGGAGAGTCCTAAGTGGCAAAAGCCAGCTCAGGTGCTCACCACAGGAGAACACATGGGCCCTGGATGAGGGTCACAGACAGGCAGGAGCGATCGGCCAGCCTCCTGGGCGGCAGCAGCACCAGGAGCAGCTAGCCTGTGTCACACTGCAGGGTTTGCCAATCCGCAGTCCCCATACTTTCTGTGGTTGCATTCCCAGTGTCCAACAGCACTTGGTGACATTAGGAGCTGGGACAGGGCTTAGGCCCATGGAGGAGCCAGGCTGACACCAATCAACAGGCTCTAGGTGTGAGGAGCCAGCACTCTTCTGGCTGGATGCCACTGTGCAGAATGGACTCTACCTGGCCTGGAGGCAGTGGCCACACCTCCTAGGAGTCTCAGCAGATGACACTGGACTGGGACCCTGCCATGGCACCCATCCCCAGTCAACATGGCCCACTGCCACACAGGAACAGCCTCTGAGAACTTCCTGGAGGCATCACTGAGTGGTGAAGGCCAGGCAGGAACCTGGGGGGTGAGGCCTAGAGGAGCTTGGCCTGAGGCAGAGGCCTCCTAGTTTCCAAGGTGGGGGACATGGCCTGCCACGTCCAGCTGTCTGAGAGGCCATTGCAACACCACTCTGAGAGGCGAGCCTGGGCCTGCCTGCTGTCTTACCACCCAGGGGGGCCACCACCCACTGGGCCACTCCAGGGGAGGCCCTCGAAGTCTGTGTGAGTACACTGGGCCTGCCCCAGGTCATGGTTGCCCAGGAAGGTCTCAGAGACCCTTTCAGTTCAAGATCAAAACCTTATCAGAGGCTCAGGGAGAGGTCCTGAGAGACCCACAGAGACCCTGGGAGGCAGGGACAGGCCAGAGTGCCCCTGCCCCATGCTACTCAGGGTCACATGCCCATGACCAGGCCTCTCCAGGCCAAGTACTACAAGCAGCCAAGAGGTGAGGCTGCATCCCTACTCCATTGGTAAACCTTGTCCAGCCCAGCCATGTCCCCAGGCCATATCCACACCAACCCCACTCAGCACAGCTCTGGTCACCAGCACTCTCTGGAAATGTGCCAGTGGGCTGCCCACCACAGCTGCAAAGCCAATTGGAAGGCTGAGAGAGCAGCAGCCCCAGCCCTGCAGGTCCCATGCCACCAGCTTCCTGTCCTTGGCCCAGCAATACAGAAAATGGCAGCAACCCTCATCCCCATGGTCTATCCCCCAACTGGTCCCATCCACTCCACCAGGCCCACACAGCCCTCAACGCCCTATCGCCTGGGCTCACACTGCCCTCAATGGCCCATCCTCAGCAGCAAGCAGTAGGACCATCACGGAGGGAAGGCAGGGAGAGGGGCCTCTCCACTGGGGCTCTGGAAGTGATGGGCAGTGATGGGCTCCTGCTAGGGCAGACAGGGGCACCAGAGCCTGGACCACATGGAGTCCCAGGGGATGTGCTGTGGGAGCAGGAAGGGGGTTCTCCTGAGTAGCCTGGAGGAAGCAGCTTCAGGCCATGAGCTGGCAAGAACAGGGCAGCCATGACAGGGACAGGTATGGGGGTGTGTGACCAGGACTGGACAAGGGCAGGAAGAACAAGTACTTCTGTGAGTCTACTGTCTACCCAGTGCTGAGTACAGCAGCCATGGCCTCACTGTCCAGCAGCAGCCCTGGGAGGTGGGGGGACAGTGCTAGACAGCGACGATGCCTCCCATGAACATCCCTCCGCTGAACCCCACCTTGAGAGATTCCCTCTTCCTCCTCCCTCCCTCCCTCCTCTACCCAACTAACTCCTCAAAGTCTTAGCAGGAAAGCCACCACCTCTGGGAAGCCCACACACATCACTGAGACTGAGAATTCAGGGCCTGCCTACCGAGCCTCAGCTGGACTAGGGGGCGCCAGGTGGGCGTGGCCTCTAGGGGCGGGGAGAGCTCGAGGGGCCGGAGAAAGCGCAGGAAGGGCGGGGCGCGCGGGTGGGGCGGGGCCAATAGGGGCGGGAGAAATCACAGGGCGGGTCTCCGCGGGGCAGCGAGGCAACACAGGCACAGGCGGCGGAGCAACCAGGCACTCACCTGACGGTAGTGCAGCCTCAGCGGCCGCAAATAGATAGAGCTGGCGCAGGGGCCCACGGCCGCGCCCTCGATGCGTTCCATGGCGGCGCGAGCAGGCCGAGCGGAGCTTTCTGCGCATGCGTGATCGCCGTCTGGGCATGCGTGGTGCTCAAGGGGCGGAACGCAGGTGGGGCTCCAGCAGTGGGGCCCGGGAGTGAGACGTCCAGGTCCTACCCGACTCGGGAATCCTCTGGGCGGAGACCCCGCCTGCCAGGGTTGTGGGAAGCGCAGTGTAGTGCAGGCTTCTGACCCAGTCGGTTGGTATCGCGCTGCAGCCCTCGGTCGTTCAGGTGGGAGGAGCCCACCTCCCTGGCTTGGAAGAAGCCGCCCTCTTCCCAGCCGCCACAGCTGCTGCTCTGCCTGTGACCTTGAGTGACCCCTGCTTTCTAACAGCGCCCCAGAGCTTGGTGACCCGAAGACCGTAGTGAGCGGCTCAGCCAGGCAGCCCCGCGGGGTGTCGGTGTTGTGACAGTGGCGCCTGGGCTAACCCAGGTGGGCACTGAGGAGGGCTCTGCGCCCTGTCTGGTCTGCTGGTGGACGCTGGAGCAGTGGTGCTGGCCTCCTTCCTGCACATGGCCTTCTTGCAACTAGCTTGGGCCATGTGGGGGCTCCTGGGTAGTCGTTGTCGCCGCCGCCGCCGCACCCCCATCCCCTGGCCAAGCAGTGCTGCCCGCCCAGCCCCGGATAACATCACATAATAGGTCCCGTAGGTCAGAAGTTAGTTCTTCAAATAGGCAGAACGAATTTAATGAAAATGATCATACTTCCAAAACTTTTACATAGGTGTAATGCAATCTCGAACAAAATACCAATAACATATGTCACAGAACTTACAGAAAACAATCCTAAACTTCATTTGGAACCAGAAGAAATCAAAAATAGCAAAAGCAATTCTAGGCAACAAAGACAAGGCGAAGGACATCACAATCTCTGGTTTGAAATTACCATGATAAAAGCAGCGTGATACTGGCAAAAAAAAAACAAAACAAAACAGGATCAATACAACAGAAGATGCAGAAACAACTCCAACCACATTCAGCCACCTTATCTTTGAATAAAAGGGGGCCCTGATTTAGCTCAGTGGTGCCACGCCTGCCTCACAAGTGCAAGGTCGTGAGTTTGATACCCCGCACAAAAAAAAATTGAGTATTTTAAAGAAAGGGGAGGGTGGGATTTAGTTTAGTGGTTCCACTACCTGCCTCGAAAGCCAAAGGTCCTGAATTTCATTCCCCAGTATAAAAAAAAAAAAAAAAAAAAAAAACCTGGCCGTGGTGTCATGTGCCTGTAATCCCAGCACTCTGGCAGCTGAGGCAGGAAGATCGCTGTGAGTCTGAGACCAGCCTGAGATACATAGTTCCAGGTCAGTCTCAACTACATCGTGAGACCCTGTCTCAAAAAAGCCAAAAAATAAAAACAAACAAAAAAAAACAAATCTGAGATTCCATCTCACTCCAGAAAGAATGACTGTTATTAAGAAATTAACCAGTAACAAATGCTGGCAAGGCTGTGGGGGAAAAGGATCCTTCTCCACTGTTGGTGACAGTATAAAATGGTTCAACCGCTGTGGAAATCAGTGTGGAGATTTCGTTAAAAAACTAAAACTGGGGCAGGGGATGTACCTCAGCGGCACTGCACCTGCCTTGCAAGCTCAAGGTCCTGAGTTCGATCCCTGGTACTGCAAACAAAAACTAAAACCGGAGGTTCCATTTGACCTAGCTATTCCCCTTTTTGGTATCTTCCTGGAAAAGCATCATACCACAGTAATATATGCACATACATGTTTATAGCAGTACAGTTTGTAATAGCTAAATTTTGAAAATAGCCCAGATGTCCACCAAGGGATGAATGGATAAAATATAGTGTTAGCCAAGCATGGTGGCACACATCAGTAATCTCAGCACTCAGGAGGCTGAGACAGGAGGATCACCATAAATTCAAGGCCAGCCTCAACTACAGTGTGAGACCCTGGCTAAAAAAAAAAAAAAAAAAAAAAAGGAAAAGGCAGGGGATTTAGCTCAGTGGCACTGTGCCTGGCTTGCAAGTGCAAGAACCTGAGTTTGATCCCCAGTACCACCAAAAAAAAAAAAAAAAAGAAGAAGAAGAAATGGTGTTTATATACAATGGAGCACTTCTCTACCATAAGGAAGGATAAACTTGAGACATTTTTAGGTAAATGGAAGCAACTTGAGGCCATACTTTTTAAGTGAAAAAAATCAGACACCTATTTAAATATTGCTTGCTTCTCATGTGAGAAACTGAAAGCATAAATGAAAGCCAAAATGGATGACAGATATTGGGAAGTATGAAGAAAATGTTCAAATAGGATGGGGAACAAGGGAGGAAGAAAGGAAAGGAAAAGGAAGAACAGAAAGAAGAAATGGAAACAAAACTTTTGTAAATAAGTGGGAGGGCCGGGGATCTAGATCAGTGGTTCCAGAGCCTGCCTTGTAAGCACGAGGACTTGAGTTCAATTCCCAGTACCAAAAAAAAAAAAAAAAAAAAAAAAGGGAAGAAGGGTTAAAAGGAGGGGAGAGGAATGCAGGGGATGGAATCAAGATATATTATGTACAGGTACAAATTCCCTATGATGAATATGATCCTTATGTACATCAAAAGAATACCAGTAAAATCAATTTTTTAAAAAACAGAAACTGGGCAAGGGATGTAGCTCAGTGCTGCCACATCTGCCTGGCAAGCAGAAGGTCCTGATTTCAAACCTCGGTACCAAAAAAAAGGAGAGAGAGAGAGAGAATAAATTAAAAAGAAGAAGCTAAGTCCTGAGCTACCACAGCATCAAGGTAGGGGCGTCTTAAATTGGGACACATGATCGGCATACCCACCTCATCTGAGACACTGCCACTTCCAGGAACTGTAGGCCACTGTGCTTCCTGACTTTGACCTGGCTGCCTACTGGCCAGAGAAACCACCTGCCCACCCAACAGGCAGGTGGGCCTTTTCCTCCTGTAGCTGGGGCTACCTGTGAGGTCCCTTCCTTCTTGCCTGTGGCTGTGTGGACAATGAGAACACAACAGCAGCTCAGGCAGAGATGGGGCCAGGGGCCTGTGCTCAGGCCAGGAGACCCCTGTCCCAGCCACCTGCTCTTCTGCCCACCTGAGTCTGCCATCCCCACAACAGTGTCTGGAAGAAGCCAGCATTTCACTGCACCTGTCTTCCTCTTGCTGAAGGAAGCAGCTTGTCCTAATAGGGCAAGCCCAGGTGGCCTCCTTGTGGCTTAAAGGGGCACTGGGGGCCTGGCAGGGAGCAGGCTCTGTCATTGTTGAGAGTGGTAGCTGTGTACATGAGTCCCTTGGTCCCCCAGGAATGATGGGGTGAGGGGACTCCATGGGGCCTGATGGCCTGAGCCAAGAGAGGACTCTGAAAAGCCACCTCTGGCTTTGGCTTGGGCAGAATGCTTCAGAGACACTGCTGAATTCAGGGACTGAGACAGCACATGGTGGGGACAGAGTAGCCCCTGTCAGTCTCCTTCAGTTGCTAGCTGCAAGGCAACTCTCCAGACTTAAAAGCTCCACCATCCTGTAGGGCAGGATCCAGCATGGCCCTGTGGGCTCCAGTCACAGTGTCAGCAGGATAAGTCCCCTCTGGAGCTCAGGGAGGGGACACCCTCACCTTCTCAGCTTCTAGGGTGCCACACTTCTGTCTTCAAAGTGGCCATATCTGCTGTCTTATGGCTTTGGTCCCTTCAGCTCCACTGCCATCCTGCCTTCTCTTCAGGACACCTGGGAAACGCTTTGGACCCCTGAGAGCCCTAGATTATCTCCAATCTCAGGCTCTTCAGTCACATCACATGGTCTCCTTTGCCATGTAAAGTCTCAGACCCATAGTTTACAGGGCTAAGGACAGGAACACCCAGCAAACACAAAACAGGAGGTGGCACCACAGCCAGGACAAAGTCTGGGGACATAGAAGATCTTCCTTTCTCTGTAAGGGGTGGGGCAAGGGCTGAAGGAAGGGCATCTGTGTGCTCTGGTGAACCAGGCCCCTGGTGGCACTGACCTGGAGGAGGCTCTCAGGCAGTGTCCTGTGGCCTAGACAGCAGGGTGAATGCTGTGTTCCTCCAAGGCTCTGGTTTCCAGTGGGGAGACAGCAGGCTGTGTCTGGAGCAATGTACAAGGAGCTGCCAGCGTGAGGACCCTGGGGAGACAATCGGGCTGGGGGACCAGCTACCTCTAGGGACATAGTACTCTCAATGTGGGCATGTGCAGGGGTGCTGCTCTGCAATTTTGGCTCTGAGAGGCCCAGCCCCCACCTCCATGTGCCTGATGTGTGAGGTAGACACCCAGGGCCTTCCTGGTCCCTCACTGGAGTACTGATGGCTGGGTCTGTGGTACAACCACCTGCAGACTCCTCCCTCCACAAGGCCCTGCAGACCCATACCCCCAGCTCCTGCTTGAGCCCTGGGGTCCATCTGCCAGGGCTGTCTAGGGGTGCTTGGAAGACATGGGCTGCATGCGAGGGATAGCAGTGGGTTGGGTGGACTGGGCGTAGGAGAGAGAAACCCTAACCTTCAGCACTGGCAGGCCTACTCTGCAGGGGCTGCTTCCACTCATCACCCTCCCACACACCTTTTGAGACAGGGTCTTTTTATATAGTTCAGGCTGGCCTTGAACTCATCATGAAGCACAGGCTGGCCTCAAATTCATGGTGTTCCTCCTGCCTCAGCCTCCCAAGTGCTGGGGTTACAGGGGCGTGTCCCCACGCCCAACTCATTCAGCCCTTCTGAGGCTCCAGGTAGCACCTGGTGCCATCCAATGTGCTGAGAAGTGGATGTTCTCTGCTGCTAAATGTGCTGTGGCTACCTTGCTGTCTTTTCTGAGAAAGGGGCTGGAGGCGCAAGTTAAAGTAGCAGGTGACATCTAGGATCGGGAGGGCAGATGGCAGAGCTGACTCAAGTGGGTAGCTGCGAGGTGCAGCAAAGTTTTTTATGTATCTGTCTACTTTTAAGTATGTCTGAAATTTTTTCTGAACAGACTTTCAGAAAAGACTTGAGCAGCTGGAGGAAGGAGGGGTGGGGCCATCTCTATCACCCTTGTGGCTTTGGCACCAAGGGATAGAGACTCCAGAGAGAGAGCACAAGAGCACAGACACCCTGGGGGACAAGATGTCCTGACACTGCACCACTTTATGAAGACCTGGCTGGATCCAACACGAATGAATTTGAAGGACACGGGAGAACTGGGGTGGCTCCCAGGGTTCCTGGCCTGAGCCAGTGG